TTTTCCATGCACACAACTCAAAAACTCAATGTACTCAACTGACTGATTCTTCTGCTCTTAATGCGTAAATGTGCTGACGATCACGCTGTACAGTCAGATACTCGCTGCCTAGATGTCATGATACAAACAAACGGAGTTTGTTAGGGCTTTGTACGAAAAAGATTTCATGACGTGACGTTGCACTTAGCTGTGTGTGCCACCCACGGTTGTCTCATATATATGAGAAAGTCTTATATCATGGCATAAATTAATCGTAGTAACGTAAATGATAAACCGACCTGACGTCGCAAATGAAGCCAACAAACGAGAGGTTCGGCATTTTAAGGGGCATTCAGCCTACCATACTTCACTCTACTAACAGGTATAAGAGTACAGTTTATTATATTGGTTACAGTGAGATATTGATCAAAACCCATTGAAATTTGGAATAGTTTTTAACGATTTTGTCAGTGACCTACCGGAACTAGCACCTGAGGCACAGACCAAATTTCAACCGCTTTAATCAAAAGACCGAAATGATCCACGAGCCAGACTCATGAGATATTTAGAAGTTACCATATTGCAATATCTCTATCAAGGCACTTCGAATCCGACAAAAATTGCTTCCACTCATTCTAACCACCGACTCTACCGTAGGCGATGCGTATGAACGCGGGGTTCCAAGGCGCGGGGCAAAATGTTCAAATGAAGAGTGATGTAGCGCCAGAATTTTGTCCACCGATTTGGTTTAGACCTCGGTGAGAAACTTAAAACGAACATCCGATTCGCGCAATGCGCTTATATATCACTTTAATCAACAAACATAATTGAAAAGCATAGCGACTCCAGCGGTAACGAATAACGTGTAAGGCATTGCGAAAACGGCCTGACAGCACAGTCCCAACAGATACCTCCGTGGGGATGTATCAACAGCAACTAGGACGGGCGACGCAGGACTTGCACAAAGGGTGAAGAGGTGCAAAAACCCCCCATTCAGTGTACGGTGACCAACTACTGAAAAGTAACAGCCTACACCGCCAACCTGAGACCTCAGTAAGTTACAAAACCAACTAGTTTGGCCGACTGCAGACAATGCCTCACAGTAAAAAAGTGGATAGCGACGCCCACATTGAAACACAGTAGTGACGCTATGTAAAACGACAAAATTCATTTCGATAGAAATAGCATGCAAAAATTTCTTACAGGTAAACGCTACCAAGCACGCCCAAACAAGCGAGCGTGCGACAACGTAAACATTTTGAAACGAAACACCCATCCAAAGAGAAACTACAAGCGCCTCAAAGGAAACACATTGTATTAAGAAACAACAACTGAAAGTCCTTTAAGGCGATTTCGATTCTTCGTTGAAACCTACAATGGGAAAATTGGTAAAACAAGACTTCCGTAGTCAATGCAGCAATTGTTCAAGTCAGCTCTCATAATCTGTTTCATTTAAGTAAGCAACATCCCATTGTAAGCGCGTGACTCAAACCTCCAAAATTCGGGCAGGCAAATAATCTAAAATTTGTGTCCTAGATGAGCCACGCGTTTATAATAGAAGGTGCCGACTTTCAAGATTAGTTCGTCATCACTTAATAGACTCACTGGACAGACTTCGTGCCTCGGAGCCAGCCTGGAAATCCAAATCCGGAAGCACATTGAGTACCTTGAAAACATTAAGGACCGCATTTAAATTGAAAGAGTGGTTACACCAGATTCAGAATACATGAAACATGGGATTAACATACCTAAAAGAGAACGGAAGACAAGATGTTCCAGTGTGGCGAATCAAAAACTACATTGTTCGAAGACTACTGAAATTAAAAAGACAAACATTGGGAGCGACAAATGCTCGCAAAGCAATGGTAAAAAGGGAAACAAGTGCGCCAGAACTCACAGTCGAGAAACAACAGTGAGAACGAGCACGCGACAACGGAGATGCGTTTAGAACTCCCCAGGAATGATTTAAACAAATAATGTTAAATAAATGAGCTCTGCATAAAAAGGCACTATAAGAGCATGCAAAATTTAGGTCTCTTAAAAAAACACTGTGGCATACCAGCGTGACTTCCAATTTTTCGAATTTACCAGCAGACTGTGCTAAGTATTCATTTTAAAATTATAAATTAAGTACTCAACTTTAATAAAAGTGTTTTACATTGTGGTAGGAAAGGAATAACCAAAAAATTAGTGTAAATGAAAGCTCCCACAGAACTTGCACAGGTATACAAAAGAAAAAGCGTTTTATTATGGCATCATCGCGGATGACTGTTAGGTTAATCAAATGTAAGAATTTTCGACAGTCTTGACTAAAATGTCATGTTTTTCTAACTAATGCTGTGTAAAATGAACCCTCAGCAGGTAAATAACCACAATATTACGTTCTGAACATGCGAATTAAAGTAGTGGTTAATAAAGACATTTTGATAGATCATATTTGCATACTTACACCGTTTATTCAACATTAAAATTTGTGTCACTTACTGTTCACGCCACTTCAAAATGTCACGAATGATATTTGAAAACAAACGCCGTTAACTAAATTTGGTACACAATTGAAATAATTGCGCAGTAGAACCCAACAAATTATTTCCACAAAAAAAACAAAACAAGAGTGTATTCCTGCTAGTGAATATAACAATTATTTGAAAAAATTCGGAGCAAATGGACGAGTGCTTCACAGCGCCATTTGTATGAATTTAATCAAAATTCTAAGAAAAATATATCAATCATAGGGCGTTATTAATCGGATTAATAACTGAAATAAAGTCACAGCAAAATTTATAGATAGCGAGACCGGACTGAATTTAAATCAATAAGGTATTACTCCAATGACGCATCACGATTAAATTAATTTGACATTAAATTTCATACCGAATTAAAGTGTGTACTACTTCAGATCAGTAACATTGCCTAAACTTACACTAATAGAGCAACCCGTAAAATTCTCTAATTTTTTTGTAAATCAGCTCTTTATGCTCCTTTTCTTCTAAATTGAGCTATTTTTAAATAATAAGTTAGACCTTTTGGCGTGGAAATAGCCATTCCAACACTTATAAAACTACTATTATTATAAGATCAAACATGACAATTTATAGCTTGTTTTGACAAATGCATTTTATGCACTGAATCCTCCACTAAAAATTATTTTCTTAAATTGTATAATTTTTGAAATATGTTCCTTTTTTAATTGCTACCCAATCATCAATCTGCCCACTTATTACGCATACGCGCCTGCCGTTTCAAGATTGTAGTGGCTGACCTTGGGGTCTTGGGCTTGGGCCTTTGCTCTTTATTTCGAATTCGTATGAGGTCTTGTACTGAAGGTAAAGACTGTTCTGGTGTTAATTCATAAGGTATTTTGTAGTATTGTCATAAATATTCTCATACTCAAAATTCTTCTCTTACATGGAGATAGGCGCATACGCATACGTCCTTCAGTTTCAGATCTTCACACAATCCGTACTGGAATCTACTATTCTCATCGAAGGTTTAGCCAATTTTATCTATGCCAGGTTGTTGGATTCCGGCAATTCTCGGCTAAAATGCATGGCGTAATTCCTATTTTGAATCGGACACATCTAAGTAATTTCATGAGTGCTCTACATGTTTCTTCTGCTGAAATGATTTCCATAACATTAATTAGTTCAACTGGAACAAACGAAATTTGTCTTATCTAAGTTCTTGACGAGTAACGTCATCGAATTATATAAAGGGTCATCGAATCCGGCGACCGTTTCGAAGCTTGTTTCTAGGAGGTTCATCACATAAGAGTGTTCATTATATAGTCCTAGTTGTTTGTAAATTTTTGGTTTTTTCTCCTGTGTTGATTGATACGATAGACGAGTAAATTAATTTTGGCCTACATCGTTGATTCTTGAGTGTCATATTTCGATTTCAGCAGATTCGGATGCGAAAAATCCTTCTACGTCATCAGACGCATCATCTAACTTAACTACAGCGGCAGTTACAACTTTTGAATCACCGCAGTCATATCGAAATTCTCATGATTCTGATTTCAGTAACGATTCAGCTGCTTTCGAGGACTTATTGACCCAATTAAAGTCGACGAACTTGCAAAAATTATTTAAATCTAAGCGGGCACCAGAGTCTCCGTTCGTAATTTCTGACAGCTCATCTTCTGAATCTGAGTCGGAATCTACCTGTGATCCAACTTTTTATCACCGGATTGAAAATTCACGTTTAAGGAAATCAACGGAGTAAAGTCAAGCGTTCGTGTTTGATCTCATTGTTTTTAGAGAACTTGTAGCTTCTCTACGACGCCAACTTCGATTTGATACCTCTGACGATACTGATGATCAAGAGGAACATGAGGTGTCACAATGTTCTTCAGAAACGGATACTTCGGAACGATGCTTTAAGCATACCCCTTCAAATCCTCAAAGTATTCAGAAAACACAATCTTTGACTGTCCCAAAAAGTGTGAAAACTCCCCAAAGTTGGCATCCCTTTAAAGTTCTGCAGAGGTATGTTGAACTTGTTTTTGAAATTAAGCAATTTGGCAGAAGATTTTGATTACGTTTTTTCTTTAATAGCCCTGATGTTCAGGTTGTCGGAACTACCTCCGGGAAAAAATCCCCTTTGCCTTTCATATATTCACTAGGAAAATTGAACCACAAGTCTTCTGGATATCCTGAGAACCGCCAACGACATCCCAGTGCTGAAAGGTGGGGGTTTTCACCAAATTTTGTGCGATCATTTCTGGGAAGATTTAAAGACCGCCAATTAAGGGCGTATTTAATTAAAATCATGTTAGTTTCTCGTGGCATTTGAATTCCTCCTGTTTTCATTTATTAAACAAGGTTTGCGTCTAATTCCATTCGTCAGGCAGTGTAGGTAGAATTTCTATCACTGCTTTCTAAAGTTGTCAGTTACGTCTTTTGGTAATAAGCGGTGTTAAGCTTGTACACTAAATTGGACGAACTTAAGCATTACTGGTCTCGAAAATTTTTTAGATAATGTTCAGACTTGCTAAATTATGCAGACGTGATTTCTTAGGCTTTTGAAGAATTTCAAGAAAAATCGCGAGGAACTCGCCAATCGACTTCTAGCTTACTTCAATGAAGTTGTATTTGACAAAAAGGTACGTCATAATATACCTTGATTGTTGTTTTTTTTTCATACCCTTCACTCAATTGTACCTACGTTACAGCTTAGGCCAGAACTCAAACTGCATATTTGCATTATTTGAGGATTGCCACGAGTTCTATTTACTTTTATCAGTCTTGGATTAAACGTGGTGGTTAGGAGCGGCTGCTTATTCAGGTAAAATGCAAATGTGGCATTCATTTCAAACCCACTTTTCATGTCGCAGTTCTTGCTTTTCCAAATTAATGGAAGCCTGAGAAAGGTTATATTATACTATTCTGTCAGTATTATGGGCCTTTAAATGACATTCTACCCGTGACCGAAATTATGCCTGGGAAGCTGAATTCCTTCATGTCAACATTATACATTTTTCGCTTTTGTTGTTTTGGTTGGGTCTCCGTATTTCCTGCTGTGTAGTATGTGATAGGCCTAATAGAACGCCAAGTATTCGCCGTCTTTGTACATTACCTGACTTTAATCTGCAAACGTTTGCCTCAGTAATTGTACTTACGGTGGAAGATTTTATTGTCTTCCAGCTACCCGAGGAACTTGAAGTAAGGTGGAATGAAAGGCTGCTCAAAACGGCTGGCCAATGCGTCTACATGAGGCGAAATATTAAGCACCCAGATGGGTCATCAACCACGGTAAGACCACAGTCTCAAATTTAATTCTAGTCATTTACTTTTTGTTATTCTAACCATATCATATATCGCAAGGGCCTAGATTCCTCCTTTGTCAGTCCCATTTTCCGGTATGTCGCCTTACAACATTCTGGGTCGTGTTCGACTGCTCAGGTTTACCTTAAGTTGTTGGTGTGGTCAGGTGCGACTAGGCTGTAGATTTCCAGTTGCTTCGTTAAGTAACTACACTGTATACCCTGATGCCTTTATGATAATTGAACCCACCCTCCTCGATAACCCCGAACTGTTTTTTTTATAATTTGTGTTGACATTAGACACGACACGTTCGGATTGAGCTCTCGGGAAAAGTTTGCACTTCTGCCGAACGTGTGCGCGATACCCTGTTGCATGAGGCCTGTCATGCCGCCGTCTGGGTAGTGCATGGAGTCAATGACGGCCACGGTCGGCTGTGGCGGGAGTTTGTGAGGAAGGCCAACGCCGCCTTTCCACTCCTTCCGCCTGTCACTGTGCGCCACACTTACGCCATCGACACCCGCTTCACCTATCGATGCACTGGGTGTTTTGCAACCATCAACAGACATTCAAAATCACTCAATCTCGAGAAAAAGGTGTGGTATGCTGTCGGTTTATGTCATAATTTGCGTACGTGTGTTCTGGTTGCAAAATTGTGCTTGTCACACAAAATTGGATCCGAGAGTGGGTGACTATTTCGCTTTCGCATGTTATCAGGAGCCCAGCTAGCACCACATTCGGCCAGTACTTGAACGCGCTGTTTCGGAGCTGTGTACACGGTTAATCAGGCTTAGTAAATAAGTAGGCAGGTTTTTAGGAACTGTCTACTGGAGTTTTTCTTTTATAGTTGATTGCCGTTGTGCATTGTTCATTTTGCAATATTTTAAAACCAATTGGATAATAATGTAACATTTCCCATGACGGCCTTATACCTTTATTTGCGAACCATTACAAAAGCTTTTATCAACTTTCAGTTGACCAATCGGTCATTCTTAGGGAAAGCCGCGTAACTGCGGTCTTGTGTGTTTTAATGGTGACCCATTAATTAAGGACTGGATTTTATAATGTCCCCGTATATCGTTTTATTAGTTGAAGTTTCTGATACACATTCTAATTCTTATTTTTTTTTGCAAAAGGTTGCACAACCACTTGTAATGCTCACCCCGAATTGTGTGATTTGAAATTTTCAGGTGTGTGGTCGGTGTCACTCCCGGTTCGAGCTCATTGTAAATACTAAACGAGGCGGTGTGCATCCCCGACATGTCGTTTCATCTAAGGTCGATCATGGCGAAGACTCGACAACCCGTCCACGACCTCCTTTTGCCGACTTCGTCAAGGAACACTACAAGCATGTTCGCCAGCAGACCCCTAATCACAAGGAAACTATGGCCCAACTGGGCAGTATGTTTCGTAGTATGAAAATAGGCGTAAATAACGACAATGTAAACTAGACTGTTTTATTCTCATTGTATTTCCTGTGTACTAAAACGACCTTATAAAAATTGCAAATACAAATCGATTTTTAGCTTTTCATCTTTTGATTTATGATGGCCTTTCTTAGTATTCAATGTATGCGAATATCTGTTTGCTCAAGTCGCCTAAACATATTTATTTTGGGGTTTTGGTAAACTAGATTGCTTGGGAGTGTGCCCATTCATCTCTCTGTTTGCTCTCTGTTACGGTGTTAAACAGTGATGGTGGGCGCGTAAATGTATACCGAGTTAACGCCGTTGTGTTTGTCACTGTCTGTGCTTTTTCCTAGCGGTTTGTCGTTCATGGCCCCAATCAAAATTCGCTGTTTGACATCTTTGGCATTGAGACAGTGCACCATTATTTCGACCAATGGGTCTTAATTCCATCATCATGGCTTTGCATGTCCACGTTGTGGAATGTGTGCTTCCGGGAGACATCGTCTTCCCGTAGTGCACTGCCTTCAGCCTTTGTGCAACATCTGTTCAATTCGATTCGGAAATTTGGTGATGGTCCTCCCTGTTTTCACTGGTGTGGGACCTACTATGTCGGTTCAACTTTTCCAATCTCAGCCTCTGTAGATCAGTTTTTGTATTGATCGTTGTTGGTCGTCCTCGTGACCAGAGATCAGGCAGCCGTTCTTTTGGCAGTATCTTATTTTTAACTGCCACAAGAAGACTCAACAGTTGCTGTGCGTCTGCAGTTTTGAAATGAATGTTATTAAAAGTTGTGAATTTATCCTTATTATCGTTCTGTACGGACTTTTTTACCTCGGTGATCTCGTGCATCACTTAAGAAGGAAGTTTCTTAGTGAACCCGGATCTTACATAGTGATTGTTGTAACCAAATTTTCGCCTGCTAGTTCGTGTAACATTTGCAGTCAAATTGAAAGGTGATACTAGTTGCTTTACCGTGTTTTTCAGGCTTGTTCTCTAAGGTGGTGGCAATCACGACTCTTAAGTCGCGTCGTGTTTCTCAAATGGCCTCTAGCAGCATCCGTGTGTAGAATTTCTTCGGTCAAGAAAACCGGGTGCGACTCGAACGAAGCTGACAAGTCCGAGCGTATTCGAAAATTACAAGAACGATTGAATTATGGTCCAAGCTTGAGTGATTTTGTCAAACCAACCGTCTCCGTGAACTCAGATGATATCGCCGAGTTCGCTCTCCCACCTAAGGAAACAACGAATGCACGGTAAATAAAGATTTCCTCGATATCCACGCTGTTTGTATGCTGAACATATGTTTGAGAGACTTCTTGTGCATGATTTCAAATCGGTCCCAGTTTGCGCAGTCAATGGGCAAACGTTTAATGTCCATGAGGGAGAAAAGTGTGCCGGCACAATTCTCTAAAATTGATTACTAATTTTGACATATGCACTTTCAATTTAACTGAATGAGTTAGCACAGCTGATTTGTATTCTGGAAACAATAGGCTCAATTCAACAGGATACTAAAGTGTAGGCAATTGTATTTGGCGAATGACTATGGCATCTCAGATTAATCAGATAAGGCTCCCATTTCATTCTTTCAATCGAACCTTCCCTATGCACATCAATTGAATAACAAAGCGAGTAGTTTACGTTTTCTTCCAATTTTGTTAAACGAAAATACGAATCGCATCTTTCAACTATTTGTCCCTCTTATTCTCACGTAGTCTGCGATTACCTACTTGGCTCAAGACGGAAATTCCACACGGGAAACAGATCTCAAAAATGTCGAATGACCTCAGAAAGTTGAAATTGCATACGGTAAGCAATTCCAGAATTGCCAACTCTACTATTGTTTCCATTGGGTCCATTATGGTAGAAGTATTTTGCACAGGTACTGTGTGTAGTGAAGGCTCGTCCTATTGCAGTTGTCGTCACCAATCTTGCCTTGGTGGCTAAAGGCTGCTTTCATTGAATGTTTCAATTCTATTTTTGTGCGTTTGACATTTCAATCTCGCTTGTTAGGGTTAGTTTTGCGCGATTTGGCTTGATCCAATTTTTGTTCACTGATCGACGTCTTGGGCTACTCATTTGACGCCAACAATCAACAATGGTCTTTTTGCGCGTCGATATTTTCAAAAACCCACAAACTTAATTCACGAGCTGTGGTGTTAATCATTCCAAGGCAGTTTGTTCTTTACCTAATGGTGTGTGCACAATGGTGTGTGAATGTCGAACAACGCGCTGCCGTTTGCAAAGGGTTATCAAACCACCACCAATTTCACACTTATTTTCGACACCTTCAACTGACACTGTACCCTCTCACCTTCACAACCGTGGCCTCACACACGTATGACAACGTAGTAGCCGAATGCGACAGGATTGCATAGAAGTACGGACACTTCGCGTTCGTGTCGACGTAGCTAGAACCATAGGCAGACATTGCCCTAGATCCATTGTCTGACCTTAGACCCCACCATCTTGGCACAGAACAAAAACGGGAACTCGCCCGGAGACCTTTTATTGTCTTAGGCAAACGCCCAGCGATTTGTCTAAATGTGCCCACTTGTGTAAGTCAGAGATGACCTTGACCTGATGGATTGAAGCGGATTAACACGGACCGAGTTGTTAGTGTGGTGTCGTGGGTGACTCACCAACCGAGTGGCGTGGTTAGGGGATTGTGCAAATAATGACGAAATCCTAACCCGTGATGAGCCGTCATGGGGAGTGCTGGATTCCAAACATGTTTATTACCCACACGTGGTTCCAACAATTCAATCTGGAATTTGCGGTGCCTTGAGATACTGACCACAGTCACCCTAGCTGCAAATCGCACTACAAGGGCATGCATTTTACAAGGTTATCTATTCACTGCATTTATATGATATATAGTAAGAACACCCAATAAAGGTCGGTGATCTTTATTTGCAAATGAATCTTGTTTTGTAGTACTTTATCAACGGTCACCGCCGTATGCAGTTTTAGTCTTTGTTTAATATATTTCCCGTATTTGACAGGCTCCTCTGAATTTGGGTGCATTTACACCACCGAATTCCCCCGTTACTTTAAACTAGCTGTAAAATCACTTGCTATTCAAAAACAAAGTAGTTCACTATTGAGTGGGTATTCGGAATCACCCGCATTTTTAATTTCTGTTTCTTCATCGGAAATTCCAAAGATGAACAAATTTTGCGCCAGTTTTTTGTCCCATAATGTATGAAATGTAAGTTTTCACGCACCATAAAATAACTTCGACTCGTTATTCCCTTTAGGTATGTGAAGAGGCTCGTTGTCCGAACCTTGGCGATTGTTGGAAAGGTGGGAAGGATAGTGTTCCCACTGCAACCATTATGGTATGAAATTTTGCATTTACATTTAATATTACTTTTATTGCGAACTAAGTTCTAGAGAATGGCAGTGTACTTTAAGTAAATGTCCGCGTGCATTTAATACGTACATTTCGCGTTTGAGAACGGTCGTCGTAATGTAAATTTGTTCTTAAGAAATGGGAGCGTATGGGTAAAAGCAGCTGTGTAATTTACCCCTCATTCTGGTGCCTAACCAATGCAGAGGTCACCATTCCAAATCCATAGGGCTTTTTGTTTTGACGACGGCTTGAGTTCCGCACGAAGATTCCTCCTTGCTAGTCTCGGTCGAACCTCTTGAAGGTCCCGTCAATAAAATGTGTGCGTTGAGTTTGTTTCCACAGCGGCATTCTGCGCGTTTGCGTGGCTTCGGGGGGTCAGCTAATATTTTGGCTGTGGTGCCCTTCTTATGCCATTTTGACTCACATAAACACTGCATTGTCACCTACTGGGATAATCCAAGAGTCACTAGTTTGACCGACGATCAACGGTGGCTTGTACACCGTAGAACATCCGACTTCGAAAACACCGCCATCAGCTTAGTATGAAAGTCGAGATACAGTTAAAATTTGCTTCTGATAAGTAGTATTTAAGTAGGTGTTTTATCAAAGTTTTGTTACAAGGCCACCCAATATCATACTTTGATCCGGTGTGTATTACTAGAGATGAGACTGTTTTTGCATGAGCAGTGTTAAGTAGAGTTCTTCATTGTTCAACGCACTTTAATAATCTCTTTACATCTATTAAACAATATGACCAAGGCCGTGGTTGTTAAGTTTGGAAGATCCAATACGGACCCATAGACTCCAGGCTAACAATTAGGGCCACAAATTGCCCAACTGTAGCTCAAAACAAGCGATCTTCTTGTCTTTTGCCGAAAGCACCATACAAATTGGGCAAATTTTTGAACTGTTCGTCGAAAAAAAATTCGCTAACTAGACCAATTACTTATTGATGATTTAGTACACAGAACAGTGCTCCATCGCAATCGCATTAAAGGTAGAATCACTGACCGGGCACTTCACGCCCCATGATTGTGGCGTATTTTGTGATTTCCAGATTATGGGGGACACTTGTACCCGGGGGTGCCGGTTTTGTTCAGTGAAGACTTCTCCAAATCCTCCTCCTTTAGACCCAAAGGAGCCAGAAAATACCGCAGATGCTGTTAGTCAGTGGGGTGTTGAGTATATTGTGATCACCTCTGTGGACCGTGACGATCTTCCCGACGGAGGAGCTTCCCACTTAGCCGAAACAGGTAATTTTTTTCACAGGTTTCTTCAAACATTCTGAGTAAGAAATTTGGGCATAACTTTCACATTTTGAAAGGACCGGGGGAGTAAGCATGAAAGGTCATTAAGCCGGGACAGTGGGCCTGCACGGTTTTGACGCCTAGCACCACCAAACACCGATTGTAGAGTTGCGGTTGCCTTTTCATGAAGGCGCGTCTTAGTCATTTTGCCGTTGATGTTTTAACCCGTCAGACACTTAGTCCTATCATTTTTTCCGTTCTATCCCACCAGTGAAACAAATCAAGAAAAAATCATCCTCAGTCATTATCGAATGTCTTTTGCCAGACTTCAGAGGAAATATTAGCTCCATCACCCAAATGGTTGACAGCGGCCTGGATGTGTATGCACACAATATTGAGACGGTGGAATCACTCCAAAAGTAAATCTCTTTTTTATTATGTGCTTCTTCATAACTGAAGTCTCGTGTGCAAATGCATCCTGATCACCGTTTTCTTACGAGTACACACCAAACATCTCTTCCGGTGGAAATAACTACAATGGGTTGCGTGTCACACACCCCATGCCATCTTGGAATCCATGTGGTGGTAATAGAACACAACATCGGTGCAAACACGACCGTTTTTTTGTTGCCAGGTCTAGTTGTCAGGTTAATTTTTAGTAGGTGCGTGTCATATAAATGTGTAAACAGTTAAAACGGCGTGTTTTACTTTTACTCAATTTCCGATTGCCATTTCGTTCCTCCCGATCCCCTTCCACGAATTTCGGTCCGCACTGTGTCCTGTCAGTTTGTACTATTTCCTTTTAGCATAATTTACCGAGACACTGATTTCTGTGAGGTTATTGTTTGGAATACTGAAGGTAGTGCGATATGTGATGTTTCTCCATAAAAAATGCTAGAACACGGGTCGCAATAGGTGACAGATTCATAACTAGGGAATACTAAGAGTACGTTTCATTCACTCATCCATGAGTTTGCCTCATCACGTCTTAACTGCAGACCGCTAGTAGCTGCGTGCGCCTCTTCGATTCTGTGGTCTGTCAAATCATATATTTGCGGTTCTTTAAGCCATTAACAACTGCGTCTTCAAGTCATACAGAGGCTGTTCCAGGTGTAAATTATTCTGTCGTACATTGGGTGTCAGTAAATAAAATCCGCGCCATTTGTGTGAATTGAAAAATTAAAATAATAGAGCCCTGGTAAATTTTGTGGTTTTGAAGTCACCTCCAACTAAAATTGCTGCACTACAAGCTTGACGTCAAACCCAATGCGTTGTTTTTATTTAATCACGAGATTAAAGTTTCTGTGCCAATGCATTTTTCACCCATTGTTAATTATAAAGCTGTGTCTATAAATTTGTGGCCGTTCTCAAAATCCACACAATTTCAGAGTCGTTCGTGACCATAGGGCGGGCTACCGTCAATCTCTAGCTGTGCTAGAGCATGCAAAGAAATATGATCTCCAGCGCCCAACCAACGAGGGAGCCGGTCACCTAGTAACTAAATCAAGCATCATGCTTGGTCTGGGGGAGACTGACGAGGAAGTCCACAGGGCTCTCTCCGATCTCCGAGTTGCCGGTGTTGATTGCGTGACTCTTGGACAGTACATCCAACCCACACGAAGGCACCTCAAGGTCTGTCATTTCTCGTCTCCTATATCCAGTTTCCACTACTTCTGCATTTTTTGCTTTACTAATCGGTATTTGAATATAAAAACTGAATCTACTGAAGATAATTCAGTCCACAACTACTAGATCACGCTTCAAGTGCTGCCTGACTACATGAATATAAACTGCGTCATTTTATTACTGTCGTAGTGTAAGAGGGAGCCCTTTTGGTTTCAAATCACTGTCCATTGTCACGAAATTACCATTGACACTAGCCTTTTCCCATTATTTCATTTTCTGCATCGACACAGTACTTCATATGGATTTCAGAAAAGCAGGATGGACAATAATTTTTAAAATTTGCGTAGTTGTCGGTATGAACGCAGCTGAGAAACACCTAAACAAAGGCTTCCTGGTGCTGCTTTCTCCTGCTGATTTTTCGTTAGATTTGCCTATCACGAGCCAAACAAGGAGCATTGTGTGAACTTACTAGTCCCCATCACACACCGATTTCTGTGAACACTGCAGTTCACCGAACCATCATCCCGAACCACACAGAACTCGATTGGATGGTCAATTTAAGCTTTCCATGGATTGGTGGGTAGCACTTCATGACACACATTATTTGCTACTTGCTAGTTGTTCAAGTCTGTTCTCGAAAGCCTCATTATTAGACATGAAATGTCGCCCCTGCACAATAACGCGGTCCACAACGGTCCCATGTTTTGTTTGGACGACATGTGTAACCAATGCCAAAGAGGCGCGGTTCCAAACATTAGCCAGTTGGATAACAAAGAAACAAGTCCAAAGGAAGTGCCTAACATGGTAACGAGAAGGGTGTCAGTCAACGGTCTATGGGACGACATCAAGTTGTTTCACAAAGAGCACTTCAAACCTTGAATAGCCTTCCTCACCCGTCGTACTACCCGATCCTTGCTCTGACACTGCCCCTCCAGGTGTTGAATGCTTTGGGGAAAAAACCCTCACTACAAATTTAAAACCTTCGTTTCAGTGCCACAATTGTACCTCAATCCGCGATATGGATTATCATATATGTATTGATATGGATTTTTGTCTCCAAACCTACGATTTCTTAATGGCTTCGTTTTTCATTTCAGTCCTCCATCACTGTTCGACTTTTTTTTATTTTGTTCCTTAAGGTGCGCGAGTATGTTCATCCAAACAAGTTTGCTTACTGGGCTGAGGTGGGAAAGTCTCTGGGTTTCTTGTACGTTGCAAGCGGCCCTTTAGTGCGTTCTTCGTATCGAGCCGGAGAATACTACATCAAACACATCATCAATAGCAAACAGAGAAAACGGGCGTAGGCTCAACGCACTCAAAGCGGTCTTTCCTTGTTGTCATAACAACACACTTCTCCGGAACTTCCTTGTTGATATTCATTTGGAGGGATTGTGCAAGTTGAAATGCACGCTTGCTTTGCCTTATTAATTAATTAGATGCAACTTCATGAAAAGTTAGAAATCTATCAAAGGTGAGTTCCTTAACCGAACAACCACTGATTCACCCGCCTAGTAAAGAGTTTAAAGTAAAGTTCTTAAAGGGAGCTAAGGCCATGGCTAAGCCAATCGTGGTTCACTGATCTGTGGCTGTTCTTTTCTTACAAAACTCATAAAAGGTATGCAGTTTGAAAGAACCAAATATTTGAAGAATAACTAGGGACACAGATTAATTCCCTACTTACACTCAACATCATTTTGAGGCTGTTGACAACCTTAAACACCAATGCTATCTCAAAATCTTTTGCATTACGCATTAAATAAACATTCCAGCAGAACAAAGCGGCAGGTGAATGTTATAGCAAAAGTTTACCAATTAGATAATGGGCCATATAGAAGCCTGCATGCTGTATGCAGACTCTAACGGGGGTAAGAGTGGATAGCAAAATTGTACACTTGAAAAGGCTTTGCCGTATTCAAATCCATCAAATGGTGAGCGCCTAAAGAGAAAAAAGTTTGTATGAGTAAGGGTTTTGTCAGAGGGTGTAGAGCAGTAATTCAGCAAAGTGGATCTTGCTCATATCTCTTCCATGAGGGTAATCTCGGTTAATAATGGTTGCAATCTCTTTGATAAAGTTCACAAATGACAAAATTTGAAGTCTTCAAATTTGTTTTATGAGAATGTCGGTTGACCAACATTATTTGACAAAGACTTAAATCACTTGAGTGCAATCAGTTCACGAGTAATAAGGGACTCCGGATGTTTGATGCAAAGGAACTAGTAGTAATGAGTACCGGACGCATACTGGCACGGCGTGTTATCCTAATCTGGCCTCATAAAACAAATAACTTGTCGATTGAAGCCGTTGCCTGAGACTTCAGTAAAGCGACAATAAACGAGAGCACAAATTGGGCCTACGCATTATGTGCAGTTGGTTTATCGCCTGGAAGTCTAATTGTCCACGCTGGGTTTCTCGACAAGTAGAGGATCAGGATTGTTGTTTGCTTCTGTCGCTGCCTCCTTCTGCTGTGTCGTCGGTTGGGCCTCAAGCACAGCAATCGCCTGCAGTAAGGCGTTGGCACCCGTGCTCTCACCCGGGCAGAATTGCATTGATGTTTCTTGTTCTATCAAGGGTTGACGAAAACACATTACGATTCGCAGTGCATTAGGGTCGAATTCAACACATGTTGCTACTTCTGAACTTGCAAACTGTACATTCCAAATTAGACAATAAATAAGCCACTGCATTACGGGTCACAAGTAATTATAACTAAAAACGATTTGCAGTCCTAAAATTTACGAATGGTGAGAAGTGTGCGCGGGCAATTACAGAAGTCATGTCCATTTGGTATAAATTCACCTACGCTATGATGTAAAATCGACACGTGAAAAGAGGAAATAATTATGTCATTTCAATGGAGTAACCGATTGCAATTTCCTTATGAGATGGCATAAAAAATAAATCACCTGTAATTTCTGATGTCTGTGGTGATACATTTCTTGGTCGCTTTTGTTGAGGCCTATAGTCCATAGTTTGATCATCCGATTCTGCAGTTGGGCTCTTCGGCGATGCCTGAGCACCTGAAAGAGTGACAGACTTAGCATCTCAAATCACAGAAACGGTGAGGATAGAATCGTGGTTTTTTTTCACCTTCAACAGAAATGGAATTGTGTGATGTGTCCTGATCGTTTTCAGTGTGAGGATTACACTGATCGCTACTAGACCGTGGGTGCTCCTTAGCTACCGCTTCATCCTCACAGGTCACGCAAATGTAAACATCGGGGACCTAAAACGAAAAGAACCTGACAGAAGACGCAGGAGAGATAAATGTGTGCTTCACAGCTACTCAGTTTTTTAGGTGGAACAGTATTTTGAAACAAAGAACCTACAAGTTATATAGGTTTAGGAGTTTTCAAAAATTAGCGGCTTTGGACCTCAAGCGAGTGGCTACACGAAGGAGACGAATTTTGTGCAGAAAAATGAAACGGTGGTCCCAATTTTCAGTACGAAGCACGGCAAAATAACCCACGTAAACAACCTAATCTAAGTAAAAGGCGACAGTACTAGTGCTCAACTTAGAAAACATAAATAGTTGAATGCATTTTACGACATTACAACAGATGTCTTAAATGTTTGCCGCATTTCTGTCTCTGGTCTAATTCGTTCCCGGAATTGGGCCATCCCAAACTGCACTATTCTCACAACAGAATGTAGGGAATTGGCCAACTAAATCAACTACTAGTTTCTTAACACGATTACGCACACAACTACCACTGTCGTGATGACAGAGCAGACAATCTCAGGTGCTTGTAATCTAATAACTGAACCATAATGTAGAACAAAATTCGCATGGATGAGGAGCACGTTACGAAGAAAAAAAGACAAGTAATGGACTACCCGCCTGAAATCAAAAGAATCGTACCAAGAATGAGTAATATGATTAAACAAATTGTGCATCACGCCATGTTCCAACGGCTTTCCTGCGTTTCCAGAAGTATGCTCATACATAACATCGCCAAACGGTTGCAACGTGGATACTGGTACTACTTGGTGTGGTGTAGAGAAAAGTGGTTCCCGTTGATTTCACCTTCTAATTAGCTTGGAAATAATGCCTGCTCAGATGTTAGTCACGTAGGATCGTGAATTGGAGCATCATTGTGAAACGAAAATGCGTGGATTAGGAACTTAGATCTATTGTGGACACAGATTACATTCTACAACCGCATCACCATCGAAACTGTCGGCTCATAAACCGCGTAACGTCGAGTCGTTACATGTTAAGCGGTGCTTTGGTTAGGGCTGCAGAGAAAGGTACCTCTTCCAGGGCTTCGCCTTTGGTGCTGTGGGGCTTTACTTCATCGGCGAGGAGAGTGCGCTTCCCAAGACACACGACGTACGTTCGACACCTCATAGTGAAGTCTAACCGTTAGAACCAAGTACAATGATTCCACTGGCCGCATCGACTTTAATCTTCACTGAATCATCACTGCATTCAGGTCTTGTTGAATGAGTTTGGACTGTACAAAATCACTCCGAACAGAAATTGTTCGAGGCCTTTGGCGGGGTGGTTCTGTTGGCTTCAGCTTTTTAAGTGGCTGCATGTATTTTGATCCACACCATAATGACTGGCGTATATTTAGAATTCTCATTATGAATTACACGTACTCATACCAGACCATGAACGGAGGGCTGCAAAAAATTTAGTGATTCGACAGTTTAAATCCATAAACAGATGACAGTATACAGTAAAGCCATTAATAAACACCTACTTTGTCAGTGGACATAATACCGACACAGACTTGGTGATACCAAACGTTGCAATTATCACAAGCGATCCATTGTACAGTTCCGCGGGGTCTTTTGCATCTGTTGGGGACCCCACACATTTCCTCCCACTCCTCAACTCCATTATCCTCAGTGTCTCCATTCCTTTCGTTGGCCCTCATTTTCCTTGGCGTGGATCGTCTCTGTCCCTCTCGACGTCCAACACGGCTAGATTGCTTGATGGACGAAAGAATCGTCTTGTGCCCTCGTGTAGACGGGGAGTGGTGATCGATGATGGCATCCGACGCGTTGCGACGCGCTGCAGCCTATTAACAAAGGGGTAGACTTGTTAGTAAAGTGCAAATAGTCTTGTTCGATTTTCAGATTATTAAATCTACCAATTAAACGCATACGTACAATCAGACATAATAGATCCCATTAGCTTACCAAGTGGTTTGTGATGTTTTCTAATTCCTAGGTCTATGCATAAGGTACCAATGTCGTCGGATAGAAAGAAAATTGTTCTACAAAATCATTATTTTTAATTAGGCCTAGCGCCGATTCTATGTCAGTAAAACCATGCAAAGCAAATGACAAATGTCCCAAAACGCAGCACTGAAAATCAGATCACTGCTGAAAATAATCGAATGAGAAATAGAAGTTCCCAACTGTGCAGTTGGGTACAACGGAAATGCATTACTAACCAAGTCGCGTCGCGCCAGCTTTACCAGGCGGTGGTCCTTGGGATATCGAATGTGCCCAGCATGTCGCTTGTCGCTGAAAGATGCCCTTGATGGCGGGTGATGAGTAAGGAAAGACGTCTTTCTGACAAATCGGCTTATGGACTTCCCGAACACAGAAGAAGTAACTGAGTTCGTGAACGACCTCCTGCAAAGTTCATTGCGAAATTCGTGAACCGGGCCAAGTTGATGATCAACTTCTTCTTCTTCTTCTCTACTTTCTGTAGAATCATCTTCCGTTGCGCTAGGAAAATCTCTCACTTTCACTTCTTCATCTTCGTCGTCTTCTTTTTCAACGTCATGGGAATCAGATAATCTACAAAGACGAAAAAACAGTATTGTGGCATGAATACAGTGAACAAGCAATCTTTTGGGATGTTAGGTGAAGAAACCCACATGCACACCAGGCCATAACTCATACGGATGGTTTAATTAAACAGCAAGGTTTCGTCCTCAAATCATTTGTCACTCATGTGGTTAACACTTTCACCCCGTCTAGTGAATTGGGCAGCATTGCAGCGCAACACAAATATGCCGGTCAAGAGACCACAGCTCTTGCCCACCTAGTGCCATCGACGCATGCAACCTTCAGATGCCATTTTGATCCCGTTCGAGTTTTGGAAAGCTCTGCGCTACCTCAGGACGCACTACTGGTTCCGCAAAGGTAAGCGACAAGGAGCTTCGATCAAACAATGCAACCCAACCGATGTCGAGATCCCACCTACTGATTGAAGCAAAAGCTCCGAATCCGTATCTGGTAGCAACACTTCGTCCGCGATCCGCGTGACCACTCGCCTTGTTGCCTCGGGTGTAGCTCTAAGTGCTAGGCTTGTAACCACGATAACCCAATGAACTCTGCCAACCAAAAGAAGATACCTTGCAGAAGTCTCAAATCGCATTAAACTTATTATGCAACACCTTAATTTCGGGATGTTGGTGTGTTCCGCAACGCACAGCCTCGTTACCCTAGATTCACCAACGCATTCCAAGGCTTTCCTGACTTTATCAAATGCAGCAATCATGGTAGTAGTGGCAATAGAAGTAGCAGGCTCCTACTCAAGCTCATTTCCATTGACTTGGCTCAAAACACTGTGTGACACCTTGCAGATTAACTTAATTTTATCCATTCTACGGACAAAGTCATAGTAGTTGCTTGCATCTCATTATCATTTTGAAATCCACCACTTGCACCAAACCAGAGACTCACCGAGGTGGCACAGATAAAAATGCTGCCCACACATCGAAGCACGGTTAAGCCGTAGGAAAGGGCAACACGTTATCTCAGCCTGCCTTTCAAAACGGACACTCATCCAAGTGAAGCAGCATTTACGTTGACTTGGCACATCATGCCCTCACACCTGGACTCCCACAACTCCTCAACTCCAAACTGGTTAACTCGTTTTGAAGTTCAAGGGGTTTCGGAAGCAGTACAACAACGCCCTCAACACTCGGAAAGTGGTAGGCAAACAAATCAACCAATGGCCTTCACGCGACGCAGCAGTGATCAAAAGATCGCCTGTGTGGTCAAAACAGAGAGCCTCGTCAAGGCACGTCAGAAAGCACCATGACACCCTTCGGCCTACAGGCCCCTGTCCCCGGCTCGTACAACTCGGCTTACGCAAGGTTAGCGCCACCGACCGGGGTGGAGCCGAATCGCCACGCGCATATGTCAGCAATGCATGAAGGTATCGACAAGACCACGTCTGTGCGCCACGACAACGTGCCCAATGGGAGTGAAGAAACCGAATAAGCTCATCCACTGCCCTACCAGTTTACCCTAAAGCTACTTTCCCCGTGACAAAAAACCCTAACTTCCCTTCAATAGCATGCCTCCCTAATCGAACGCCAGTTTTCAGTTTGCTGACACGTCGAAACCCCAGAGAGACTATGCACACATCAATCACCCCAATTAGGGGTACCAGTGTCACATTTCCTATGGTGACCTCAAGCTCCTTCGCTTAGCATGAACGTGTGAACTGTTCAACATGCCTTCGCGCATTGGGTACTTGCCTACCTTCTGGCAATCCATGACGACGTGGGAGGAAAACGACGACGACGACGGCGACGGCGGCCGTGACACACGAGGTGCTGTGAGTGGGAAGAAGAGAAAACCAGAGGTGAGTTGATGAGGCGTCGGCCTCGCCGTCCTCTACCAGCGCCCAACTCAACTCGGCTCCTTCTCCTGGCCACCCACAGACGATGATGGCCTTCCGACGGATCCGCGGCGATTGCCTTCTCTCTGCCTCCATGAAGGGACTGGAAGAGACAAAGGTTTCAAGTGCTCCTAGTGGTTCCTCAGCAGCTTTATGAGCACCCACGCGTTCAGCATCTCCTCCTTCTTTCAGATTATCCCCTTACACTTTCTGGCACCCCGACGAAGGTGACTGACTTCACTGATGCCGTTTAGTGAAATCATCACATTTTAACGAGAAATACCTACTCAAGCTCTGACCCAATCCGTCCTTTCTCGTTTAACCATCCCTTGTGTAAATAGTTGTCGAAGGACAAGAAACGACAACCAACTCCCTCTGACATGTCGGGATACTAGGTGAATGAGTTATTCTCAGCTCAAAGTGACACAAGTTACCACGGGAATACATGACACCACTTCATTTCAGCATCCAACTGTAACTTAGCAGGGCCTCAGTTGTGATCAATGCTCCGTGGCGGACCCACTCACGGTACCATGTACACTTGACCCCCTACAGCGTGGTTCTTGAGTGGATAGTCTAAATCGCATTCGGCACCAAATACACCCTGCACAGTTTCCAAATGTTTCCCAAGCTGACTAACCTTTGTGTGGTAAGGAGACGCAGAGGAGTTTCGGTGCCCGTTCACGACGAAATTATGCCTCCGTGCACGTACACAACCATGTCTTTCCACAGCTTCTCCCAGTGACCACTTTCGCCCAAGCCCCCTTTGTTGGATTTCCATTTCTTCTTTGAAGGCCAATTTAGGGTGCAGCGCGCCGGCACAGTCTGGATCTGCAGCGAGGGCAAGTTGCCACAACCAGCGGGTCTGGGGAAGGCTTACTTCAAGTGCACAGGCTTCTGTGATTAGAGTCTCAAGCCAGGAGTATGCATATAATGCATATTGTTTCACCTATTTTCTCTTAACCCTAAGTGTTATTGGCTATTTTGAAATGGATGTGAACGATCGTGTGCGAATTTTGTCCTGTGATGTAGTTATGTCTTCAAGTTTTGGAACGTACTGTCCGACAGAAAGCATATTTGTGTTCCGATTCTGCCTATGATGTCTGCTGTCCCATAACACGTGCGTAGTCCTGTCAAGGTAATGGGTCTACATTTACATAGTACGCATAAAACTCACTCTGGTCACTTTTAAAGCTGGAAATTTAAATTTCCGGGCATTGTTTTTCATTATTACCTGGATTTTACGACTCGCTCGTGGCCACTGACTATAAACGTGCAAGATCTCGTCATTAGGGCCCAGTGATTCAGCCTTAGCAAGAAAATTTTGGGTGAATAAACAAGGAAACCTGTGAAAAAGCGTCAAAAGCCGATGTGTTCAAATCTCGACTTGGCTTAATCTACTTTTATTGTCTGTATTGATGTCCCGAAAGTGAGACATGCGGCAGACGGGGGCATGCGCGTTGATGCACGCCGTGCCAAAACCGAGGACACGCACACGCCTGTCACGTGCGCGTGCTAAGGCATGTGATCCGCCGTGTGCGCGTAAGTACGTACGTGGCATTTGGCGTTTCAGCGCGAACACGCGAAAGTGAAGACGGGACAGGAGTTAGCGCTCATCGTGTGCACGCTAAACGTTACCGCAACAACGATAACTCGATCACACAACTACGTTGGCCCCCTTTAGTGATTAGGAATCTGAATCTAGTAAGAAAAAGTATCACTGTTTGCTGTAATATTCCACTACCGACTTGGGGGTAATCTCAGCGGAGCCTAGATGCAATGCGCCAAAAACTTCAGCTGGGTGGTTTTAGAGCATGTGCAAATTTGAAAGACCGCTTGCAACGACCTCCAATGTATGGGGTACAATTTTCCCCAACCTTACTTTTGCTCACTATGCAAACTCTCATATAAGTATGTAAAAGGTTTGGGTAAATTTGTGAAGAATGATGCAAACAACGTAGTAGACCTGTAATACCAAGCGTGTTAGGCAACTTATTTGGTGAATTTCTCCTATTTTTACAATGATTCACAATGGCTATACCTCAAATCGAACGTGTTTGTGTTAAAAGCCAGTTGGTAATAAATATTGCATCAATCCTCAAGCAATGGAATAGCCATCACTGAATCTATTTTTTTTAATTGCACCTGACTTTATAACTATTTTTACTTTTAATCTCGTGTGCTTGCCCTAGGTTTGTTTGGCCTTTTAAACTAGTCCTTTGGCCAAGTCGACATTGACAGAAACAGGATGGGGGAACAAAACCATTAATTTAGGCTACAGCGCACGTGTTCGGGGAATAATAATTAAAATTGTTGAATTGCACACTCACCGACGTGTAAGCACCATGCGGCCTTCTTGACTCGCACCAGTGCTGAAAATACCAACAGGCTCATTGGCTTCTTGGGACGCATGCCCGACTATGTGGATTCAGTTCATCACATACCCTTCTCCAGGGCACATTTATCACGAAGCCCTGACATAATAAACGTCACCCGACGGCACCAACACACGACACTTCAAAAAACTTTTAATTGGGAGACAACAAACATGCGAGGCGACTAGTTAGGCGTTGAGCCTTTCGTTGACATTAACAATGACATCTCCTATTCCTCATAAGATAACCTTTTAGTTAAATACTGTTCTATCGTGATTTAAACACCTCTGTATCATGTGTGAAGTCTGCCCCTCAGGGGAAGAACATTTTAGCAATTAATCACTGGTTTCCAGTCTTAAATTGCGCGCATAGTGAGCTGTGTCCTTTCTCGAATGCCAAGCCACTAAGCATAATTAAAATGCCGCATCATAGACGCCGTAACACATCTTTGTCTATGCCTATTAGCTAAATGGTCTGGGACTCTTCACCACAACCACCATCAATGCTTGGGATTTTCAACCACAATTGTAGTGTTTCGGATCTAGACACGTAGTTCTACCCTGTAAAATTATAACATTAGTAGGAAATCTGGTGAACCTTTTCCTCTGCTTCATATGCGAGTAATGAGTGAACACGTTGATAAATAGTTTTGGGAACACTGAACTTCACTGCTCAAATGGTTTTGAGATAATTCAACCACAATTCCGTCTCTGGTGTTGAAGCAATCCACTGAGCTCTGATTTGAGCCACTTTACGATCCCTTGCTTTGGTTCTCTGTCTGAATGTCAATAAGACACGGTATTACCGCTAGGTAAATGTTTCTAAATATTTACTAATATATTGACGATTTTGTCGCTAAGTAATAAGTTAAAGAACACCAAAACGCTTGAACCTATGCCTAAAACTTCGGCTGTGTACAGACATGCTTTCGTGCCAAGAACTTTCACAGTCCGACGCGGACAATTATTTGACAGCTTCGCCCCAGAATGCCTGCAAGTCTTTTATAACCGTTGCGACCTAGTGCCCAATTAGAGTGAGACAAACACGGTGCTTTACCCCTCTTGAAGTCAGGTTCAACTCTAAAACTGGATGTACTTTTATCTAAGTGAATCCATGGCCGTGGTTCTGTGTCATCCTTCACATGATGTGCAGGGCGAGATGAAATTGTACTTTATGGCTGTTTGGAGAGTAACATAAGTAATCAAACCTACTGGGTTTGGCAAATGAACAAGCGATGCTTTTCCAAAAATTTTGTGCAGTGCTTACTCTCGATGAAGTTCAGACTGTAACATTACCAATACAGTAAACGTTAATTCCAGCGATAATTATGATATTGGACTTCCCAGATTCAGAAGAAGGGTGAAATAAGTCATGGGTTTGAAACACAACCACCGTCATTATAAACTCTTGGAATTCACATTACCGCGTAGAAGGAAAGCGAGTTCTAATTAAAACAGTGATCTTAACAGGTCTCCTGTTTTAATTAGGAACCTTTTCAGATTTTTTTGGATTCATTTCAATCTCTATTAAGAACGGGAACGTTAAATACCTTTCAGCGGCAATTTTCACCTTCAAAATCAGCTGTATTCGTGGGGAATAAATATAGGATTGCAGTATTTATTTTGACCTCTTAGGGTTTTTGCTGTAGCATTCGAAGTCACCCTAAAATTCTTTTAACTTAGTCTTAATTTGACTTCTCTGGCTAATGTACCAACCGGACGATGATTCAGAGAGTTTAAGGGATGTGTGGCGATTTCCTTATTACGTATTTTTCTTACAGGCAGAGTGATACACTTTCGGGAACGGCAATGCTGGTTCTATCGCAGGCACACTGTTCCAAGTGAAATAGGTTTGTAATTTTCGGCGTCCAGGACACTGTTCAACGGTGGAAGTGTTTTTCACAACGTACAAGTTTGCTTTTGCTGTTCGCCAAGCAATTTGGTTCGTCAGAACTTATGGCACTCTCAGTTTAAATCTACCATTTTATAAAAAAGTCTGAAGTAGCTAGTACGCATAAGGCGTCTGCCTGTATGAGGTAAACTTCCTAAAAGAGCTTCGATATCTTAGAGATGAATGATGTCCATCACTTCCGCATAGTGACCGATAGATTTAGGTTTTGGGCTGAGCACTTAGGTAATCAGAGAGGAACCCTGGAGTTCAGATCACCTCTCGATTGCTGCGATTCCGTTGTCCTTTGGGGGTTTTCGGGGTGCAAAAAATGTGAATATACCACATCTACACTGAAACTATACAAATACTCATTTTTTATTATTAATCAAATGCAGGTTACTGACCTTAATTATTCTGATTTATGTTAGTTTGGACATTTATAGTTTGTTTGGGCCAGTTAACTGTGGAACAGGGTCAACGAAGAATGATCAAACTCATGATGTAACCCGTTCGGTACTGCCGCATATTTCATGGGATCATTAGAAATTTCTGAGTAGCATGTTTTAAGTTGGAATCCAGAAAGAACTTAGGGACGGAGCAATTTCCAATGCAAAAAACTTCCAAATCTGCCTACAGTTCTACGCGAAAATAAAGATGTCACTGGCGCAAATCGCCAACAAAGATTGCCCGACTGTTTATAACCAGCCACGTAAAATTATGTGCTTCCACAAACTAGGACCAGACACCCACGTTTTGGAAAACCGTGACCGAGGCACAGCTATTTGACATTGAGGGCGGGGGACCTTTGGAGGCTTGGAGGGTTGGTCGTACCAACTAATTGCGTTTCCCATCATCCAAAAGTTGGAGCATCCGTCATCGGTCTTCGTGCCTCTACCACAAAGTGTTGGTAGTTCGACAGTATTTAGCAATTTAAAGCAACTTGGGCACACGTTAAAACTCGATACATAGGTTCTTTGCTTTTGACAGAACGGAATAAGCGAACCTTGTTTCCATAGCCATTCTCCTCTTCCCTTACCAACAAAACAAGGCTTTTGCGGATCAAGTCAGACGTGAAGATGAGGATTGAACAAGAGCATCATATGGAAAAAATATGGAAATGTTAGAGCAGAGGCTGAAATGCATCCAACGAAAGGGTTATAGGGTGCCTAGTGGAATTGCATAGGTACACGACCAAACAATAAGTGGGGAGAAGAGCTAATAGCAACTCACCCAACACGGTGTCGAAACCCAAGCAAACCGTCAAAATTTGGTCCAGCGACAAGGCATTGCCTTTCACCATGATGGCGCTAGATTGCATATCACTCAAGAGGCAGTGCTCGAGTCCCAAACTATCGGGCCCGACTTGAGCATATATCGTGGATCGCAGTTGCTTTGTCACCTATACTGCCGTTTTGTTCACTCCATAATATGTGTTGTAGTCTAAGGTGTGACTTGTGTACATGAATTCAAATGTGGAATTTGCATCTGCGGGAAATCTTCACTTTGACCTGGAAATTCGGAGAGCTGTGACTCCGGTGCAATATTAATTCGTTGGAATCTCAATTGTTGAAATGCTCTTTAAAGCTATCACCATAACTCATGGCAAATTACCTTGGTTTCACTTATACACTGTCACTTTCATTTGAGTCAAAAAGTTCGACAAATAGTAGGGGATAAAAGTTGTGGTGGCAAAACCGAATGCATACGTTGAACGCTGAACGTATGGCATACGTTGTCCATTGATGAAGCATAGCCGGGGTTGTGAGAGGTTGCTTGGAAATTGTTAATCGAGGACGATTGTAAACAGCAAATAACTTATGTGTCCCCTATTGTATTAAACTTTGTGCCATTTGGAATAGGAAACATGCACATGTAGTATCTTGAAACAGATCCAGTTAAGGGTGGCTCCTCGTTGTGCACTAATACTGTTGATGTGGTGGAGCGAGGCATGCATTCGCCCTTTACGTGTTCGGATAAAGAATATAATACTCAGCGAGATGGATACTCTTTTATAGCATAATCGGTTATGTGCTCCAACAATTGCACTTCAGAGTCCCCAGATTGCCACGTCCTCCTTCAAGTGTAGACAACCAATATCCCTAGGCGCAGCTATTGGACAAACAACTGGTGAGTCAGCGATTCTCGCTTTTCAGCTTGCTTAAAACAGCTCCTACATATGTACTGTCAACGAGGCTCGTCCCTTAGCCTTGAGGACATCTCAATGACCTTTGTCCTGCAACTGTGGCAACACTCACTTATATCGTGCACTGCAACCCCCCCGAAAAGACGTTAATTTATGCCAACTCACCAGAAACATACCTTACGTACACCTTTCCCATCCCCTTAGGCGGAATGGTGATTTCATTTGCATTAGCTGTTAAATGTGGGTTGACTACACAATGGTGATCTTATCTGGGTCCAGTGTATGAGAAATATTACTATACCTAGTTTTCAATATCTTAATTCATTTTTGCTGTCTGTATAAATACTCCCCACAATGCTGTCAACTGGTTGGAATTAGTATCGCCTCAATTTAGTGAATCAGTTCCCCTCTGTCACTTATAACTATCAGTCACGTAAATGGTTTCAAGCCAAACGCCTCTTAATGTCATTCGATTAGTCTCTACACAACACCTTCTCCCTATCGTACGTTATGTAATCTTTAAATCCGACTCTCATTATCATACATACTAACTCCAACCCTTCCGACTTCACACTTTCGTACGTCTACATATTTTCTGTGAATGTACACTCGAGCCCCGCACCTCAATTAATGATCAAGTCCCCCACTGCCGTTGGTCTCTGGGTGCTTTCAGTTTTATCGGTCCACAGCATACAATAGGAATGCGCAGGCACTCGCATCAAAACAAAATTCACTCTGGGTATTTTGGTACTACTTAAGCCGATTTGATGTCGCGGAAATCAGATTTATATAATGGGCACATGCACATCCAAAACAACTTTGGTAAACCGTGGGTAAAACCCTTTTTAAAAAACAAAAGTTATTGTTTTTCGATTGACCTTAAACACCTTATCGCTTTTAATTGAACACTCACACATACTAATGTGTTGAGTGGAGGCTATTTTTAAGCCTTCACTAGACAGCAGCTTGTTTTTCAGACTTGATCCACTCCAATGAAAGTGTGT